CATGCCATATAATCACAAGACTCATGACTCAGCCATGCCATATAATCACAAGACTCATGACTCAGCCATGCCATATAATCACAAGACTCGTGACTCAGACATGCCATAGACCAGCCATCCAGAGATCGATGGGGTCAGCAATCAGGCATTATTTTTCATCTTCCTTTCAGAATTTAGCTGGTGTGCAGAACTGAACCTGGGATAAGAATATGTATGTAAAAATTAAAAATATAAAGATGAATATTCATGGATGAAATTTGTCATTAATATAAAATCAAAATCCATTGCCCATCTTAATTACACTATTGAATAATTAGTTGATAGTTAATAAACAGTAAATTTTTTAAAGGAAATTATCGTGAAATTGTGAATGCTATTATTTTTCTTTCCGTTACGCTCTGTGTAACCAATTATTGTTTATTGAGTATTGTGAGTAGTGAGTATTATTGTCACCAAGAAATATCAGAGCAACCTGCAATAATTCTTCGTGTTGGCTGATCTCTTTATTTTTATTTGTCTCTATAGTATGACTTCCCAAGGCAGGGGTGAGCTCATCTTCTGTACTGCTGTCAGAGGTGAGACCCTTCTCAATAACTCCATGTGCGGCTGTTTGCGACTTCCACTCATCTTCATATTTTCTTTTCCTGCTTCCTGGTCTCTGTCATCTTTTTTCCATACCATGAAGCACCATATCAATTTCACCCAAACGTTAAAGCCTTCCTTTCTCTCTTTCTGCAAGTGAGAAATTTTGGTCATTTGGAATCTTGATTAAATTTAATGCATCTGCATTTACAACAGCAAAGCGGTCATCAAGTTATGAGCTAAATTTTTTCTCTTCCAGCTGTTTAGTTTTTGTCTGTCTACTGACTGCTTTTTAGAGACTCTGCCATTGCTTTTGCTGCTCTTTCATCTTGTTGATGCTATGATACAGTTGTCAAGTGGGAATTCTGGTTTTTGCCTAAAAAGTTATTAATTCTTGAGCAGTAGTGGCAGCACTTTCTTGAGTAGTTCTCTTGTCTAGTGTGTGTAGGTAAATAAATCTGCTCAGAACCTGCCGATTTGATGACAGCTTGGACCCTGTGATACTTTCAGATGTTCCTTTATCAGCCAAGTGCCACGAGTGTGTGTGACAGCACTAGTAGATGGAATTGAGTTCTGCATTATGCAGCTATCTTTAGTTACCTGTGTGGAACAAACATGGGATCAGTTAATAAATGTTCAAACTGGCATAAGGGCATCTATGGTCTCTTATTTTTTTGAAGTCAGTTGTTAACATAATGTTATTCTATAATTAATTTCACTGATATGCTGTCCTCTTACATAAAACAAGGAATATGCTATTGTTTCATTTGTTCCTGTAGTACAAATTATGAGCAAACCAAGTGCATGGCATTCTAACCTCACCGCAGTCTTGTGGAAGCCTGTGCTGCACGATGTGACGGTATAATTTCTGGTCAAACAAATAGTCTGGCAGGAAATAAACTTTAACAATGTATGGTCAGCAAAGAATATGTAATTAAACTGTTAATTTCCTGTAAATAGGTAAAATTTACACTCTAGCATCATTCAACATAAAGATCAAATATTGTCATAAAAAATATAACTCAGAACTCACTACAGTGATTGACAGAGAGCGCATTTTCTCATTGACGAAAACGTGAAGTCACGGACGGACGGACAGACAGACATGGCAAGCACAATAGTGCATTTTTTTCCATAAATGAGAAAATGCGCTAATAATATCAACTGAGCATTATAAATAGATAAATAAAGTTCTTGTGCAGCCAGTAAATATTGAAATATCATTCAAATTTTGTTTGCTTAAAGTTTTGGTCAAAAGGAAAACTTTTAGGGGGTGTGAGCTTGGAAAATTTTAATATTATCTTTTACCTTGAATTTGGTCACCCGCTTAGTCACCAATGTGAATCATAATTTGGTAGTCACCCGGTAGTCAACTTGCCCGCTAAATGGTTGAGGGAACTGTATGAGGACCCCAACATTCCTAGCTCATATTCTTACATTTGTATTCAATTTCGCTCATGCAGTTGATGTGGTAAAGTTGCCTTGGAAATCATCCGACTTGCTTGTAATGAGCATTAATTAGGGTTGGAAATATTAGAAATCCTTTAGTCTCTTTGATTTCATAATAATCTAATTATTTTACTGCCCCTATTGCCAAAAATGTCATAAATTTGTTTCTTGATGGTCACTAACTTAGAGGTGTGGGTATTATAAAGTTGAGGACTTAAGGTAGTTGGAAATGTGTTCAATAGTTCGGCCTAAACCTGACATCCAGAATGAATGCATGAATAAGATTTTGCTCCAGAGTACAGTGATGCATCATTGCATTCTCTGTAACTGGGCATGCCAAGTGTGTAAAGTGTTTAGTCTTGGTCAGCAGTATCTAAGTCTTCCACTTTGTCTCAACTAGACATATGGAAATTCTTTGTTTTACCTTGCATCAATGAGTACTGTCTTTTGAGCAAATATGCTGAATTTTTTGCCTCATTTTAATTTTGTCATTTAGTTGACTGTAAATACTTGAATTTTTATATTTTTTAAACATTTAGTTTAAATCATTGATGATGGCTCATTTTATTATGATCCTTGATTAGTGGTTCCTTTGTGCAGCATTGGTAGACTATCTGCCTTCTATGATACATGACTAACATTGTTTTAATTCTCTTTACTGTGTGAACATTGTAGCTTTTAGTTACCTTTCTTTCTAGCTTGTTCATTAGCCATACAATTATATAGATTTTTTGTACATATATTTTGTTGATTTTTATGCATTTGAAAAGACCTATGCTAGCTTGCTCATTGGTATGCAGCTAGGCTGGAAAATTTTAGGCTCTCATAGATGTGGCAAGCAGGCTTATGGACCTAGACTTAGCTGCAGTGATTAGTAAAAATGTGCAACGCATCATCCACTTTTACTCTTCTTGGGTTTCAATTCACTGATGGCAATTTCAGTTGGTGAAAAATTCATTTCCTACTGTCATGATTATAATTTCTGCTTGCCTTCTTTTCAGATCATTGTAGCAGTTTGCCTATTTTTATACAGGTGTGATGAACTTGTCATGAGCTTGTACTCGTCTATTGCAACTACTTGATTAATGGGGAATTAAAGTTGGAGTTTACTTATTTTTAGTAAAGAAATTTGAAACAAAAGTTACATAGTTTATTACAAGGATTGTGAAGAAATATGAATATATATAGGAAATTAATATTTTTGAGGAACATGGACAGGTGATGATTGCTGTTGTATTGCAGCAGATTTACCCAGTGCCTTGCTCAATTACTGTTCATTTACTATTATTTGGCTTCCCTCAATTCCAAAAACTTTGAATACAATTCTGTAAAACAGTAAAAGAATAAAAAAGCATAGTAACGAAAACAAAGTTAAATTAATGCTCTATTTACCATCTCAATAATTACAAAATGAGTAAAATGGGAATGAAGAACTTGTCTACATGAAGGTTCTGCTATAAGATAGTGTTTACAACCCCCGGTGACAACATGAGGGTGGCCAAGTGTCCCAATGAGGGCCTCGCCCTCACCAACTGTGTGATGGCCAACGAGGCAGACTTCAACAGGGAAGTCGAGTAAGACATTACTGTGATTTAAAAATATAAGTTTGGCTTGTTTTATTTTGGTTTTATTTAGGTTTTTGCAGCACTGCATGCTAAATATATTCTGATAATTTTCAGTTTCAATAGTAGATAAGAAATCATATAAATACATCGTACTTTTGCAATAGCATCATAACCCAAAGACAGTAGAATCAACCAGAGAGAGACAATACTCTCTATGGGTGACAAGCATGCATCACAATCTCTCTATGGGTGACAAGCATGCATCACAATCTCATACAGAAGCTGTGCAAAGTACAGAAGCTGTGCAAAGTACAGAAGCTGTGCAAATTGCAGAAGCTGTGCAAAGTGCAGAAGCTGTGCAAAGTGCAGAAGCTGTGCAGAGTACAGGAGCTGTGCAAAGTGCCGAAGCTGTGCAAAGTGCAGAAGCTATGCAAAGTGCAGAAGTTGTGCAACGTGCATAAGCTGTGCAAAGTGCAGAAGTTGTGCTGCGTGCAGATCGGTTCAAGATTGAGTGATTTTCGCACGAGTTATCGTGGGGCTTGGTAACGGTTACATTAAATGTTACTGTTATGGTTACGGTCGATGTATTGGAATCAAATGAAATTTATAAACGATTGAACTGACGCACTTGTAATCTTGTGATCAAGTCGCGCAGCTGAGGGCGTCGCAGATAACGGCTATCAGGGCAGCTGATAACGGCGCATGCCGGCGTAGCCACCGCAGCCCCCAGCCTCGGTAATCCACTCTCTCGTGTATCAAGTTGACAATTTGATTAATTACACATTTGATTAATTATACAACAGCCGCTAAATATATACGCGATGTTAGGCTTCAAACTCACGAACTGTGACAAGCACATATAAGATTTGTACTTTTAATGTAACCTAGCCGCATGGCACTGCAATCATTCGATTCTTAACTCCTAGACACTTTCAATACCAGAATTGTAATCTTTAGCTCGTGCACCAACAAACGTGGAAGGTGGTACTGAGGAGGATGCCTGGGACGAGTATGGACCAAAGTCATAAAGTGAATCTTTTTTATTGGATTCATTAATTGGAGGGCTAATTGCACATCTGAGGTAACCCCGTAAAATCGGCGCCTGAGCGCCAATGCAGGAACAATTGAGGCAAGGAGTTACAGGCGCCGGTTTGTGGGCAATTGTGAGCTTCAGTGCGTGTAGAGTGCGGAAAGATGTGTATAAGAGACAGTCGTTAGGGCTTGTACTATTGTTATTTACGTTTACTTCTTGGGTAATTTGACTTTTTTTATTTAGAGCGAGCGTCCGATCATAACATTGATGAAGGGGTGCGTTATCCTGCTCTAGCTTGTGGCGACCGACAATCCAGAGCAGAAAAATTTTTCGTACAACTCTGGATGAATTGGAGGCC